GAGGGGTGTCTGTGTGTGACGATCTCGTAAATTCCGTTACTGGTTTACTACGTAACATCTAGTCGCAAGAGCGCATTTCATCATCCTGGAGCAAATCACTGATCGTTCCAGTTTTCAAAAAGTGATCTCGCAACGACTGCGCGTACAGGAGGCTCGATTGGCAGTTGCCAACTTTGGACTTCTTAGGCGCCGTCTAGACATCCGGCTGTCTGTGAAGGGTCGAGTATATGCTGCACCTTTTAGGCCAGTTCTGCTCTACGGCGCAGGAACTTGATCGTTAAGAAAACATGATGAAGATAGACTGTCTGTGTTTAAACATCGTGTATGCAGCATTGCGTGAATCTGTTTGGGAAACGGGACAAGCAGTGATGAGTTTCCGCGTAGAGCTTTAGGTATTCGCGGTCGTCCACTGGGGTAACTGGTCGACCTCCATAGATTACGATGGTGGGGACGTGCTACGCATGCCACCAAATAGGTTGCTACGGCGCGCGATGTTTGCCAGTTCAGTTCACTTCAGTTTGCACAACCATTAACCATGCACTATCGTGCGCCGGTTTTGGTTGTTATCTTTCGGCTACCCGTTTGGATGAACATTAAGAGAAAGAGAGAAAAGGTTAAAGATAGGATCGAGGAGAAGACTGAAAAGTTCAGTTGATTAATGAAATAGAGAAATTGAGAAGATGCACGAACGCCACTGTTTACGACACCCAACCATATCACTCAGTGTCTCTAACCATCGGGTACGACCATCCCCAGGTCCCCATCCAGGGAGCCTAACGGGACCTATGTGACCTAAACTCCTGGTTAGGGTTTTCATACCCTCATGTCAGGTCTTAGCTTGACCACTTTGGGCTTTCTTCCACCCACTACATGCCTCGGCAAACATCACTCGCCGTGACAGCCTATTTGGAGACACGCGTAACTTATGCCCTAACCAACGTAATCTATGGAGGTCGAGTACTTGCTCCAGTGGACAACCGCGACTGCCTAAAACTTTTCGCCCAACCTCAGCATAGCTCGTCCGGTTACCCCACCAGATTATGGGCAACGCTGAGTAAACAGCGGTGTTCAGACACCGACAGTCTATATTTGTCCTGTTTTCTTAATGGCGAAGTTTCTGCTCCATATAGCAGAACTGGCCGAACCTCTACAGCATACACTCGACCTTTCACAGACAGCCGGATGTCGCGACGGCGCCACAGATGTTTCAAGTTGGCAAATGCCAACCGGGCCTTCTGTATGCGAGCTGACACTTCATCCGTGATGCGTCCACCGGGTGAGGTGTTGCTGCCCAGATAACAAAACTTCTGCACCTGCTCTATTACTTCCCCAGTTAGAGTGAGGCTGGGTGCTGGAACAACCCAATCTTGTAGTAGCATTTTACACTTTGAATGTGCAAAACGCATACCAAACATGGACACGCTAGCAGAAAAGCTTGAAACTTACCTGGATCTTCACTTAGTAGCACAATGTCGTCTGCATACTCTAGATCAGACAGCCTGCTACCTGGGAGTAAATCGATGCCGCTATCCTCGCACGAGGATAGGGCTGTTTCCATAATCAAATCTATAACAAAGTTAAATAGAAGAAGAGAGAGAGGGCAACCGGAACACCTCTTTCCGTGGTGAACTCGGGTGAAAACGTGCCGTAAGCTCGGACTTCGGCTATGAGTATAAAGGAATCGTAATATTGAAATAAATTTCTCGGGCACACCTTACTTGAAAAGGCAGCGCCAGAGTTTAGAGCGGTCGACTGAGTTCGAAGGCCGCCTTTAGATCCAGGAAAATAGAGGTGGTGGGTCTACGAAAAGAATGTCGGAGCCCCGGAGTTTGGCGGACAGTGAAGATGTGGTTGATACAACCTCGACCAGGCCTAAAACCAGCCTGGTTCTCACGTGTTGTACACTCTTCACGTGCGGCAGACAATCGACAGAGTATGATACCAGCGAGAAGTTTAGAAGCAATGTTGATTAAACTAATTCCTCTATGGTTTTCACGAGAGGATCTGTCGCCTTTCTTGTAAATCGGTATGATGACCGATTCACACAATTCTGCCGTAACCCGTTCCCTCTTCCACACTGTGCCCAGTAGTTTCGTTAACTCCGAAACCAATGCTAAACCTCCATCCATAAAAAAGGATAGGACGAACCCGTCTGGGCCTAAGGCCTTATACCTTTTGAGATAGCTTATTTCCCGGGAAACCTTCATTTCAGATGGAAGACTGGCATCGACTGGCAGAATTTACGCAATCGCGGTGGAGAGTGACAGTTCAGGTGTCAATGGGGGCCACTTGAACTGAGCCTTGAAATGTTCATTCCATCGATCAAGACGGCGTTGCTGATCGTAAATCAGTGTGCCATTGGATTCCTTAATTACCTCACTTACGCTTATTTTCCTAGGACCCGTAGTCTAATAAGACGGGAAAGATTGCGACTATTTCCGAAACGGTTACGACTATTACCAATAGCCGCAGTCTTCCCCATCTCTCTGCTCTTTCCTACCCACCACTTCTCGCAGTCATTCCTCAGACTCTTGCTGAGCTGGCGTGTAAGGGATTTGCGCGCTGTGTCATATGTGACATCCGAAGGCAGGATTCTGAGGGCGTCCAGCAGGGCAGTCGAGGTCTACGAGATCCATCGGTTATGTTTTGAG